GGTTTTATACTTTTCTAGGTTCTTACATCCTATTTACCAGTTATTAACATTTGCGGCAGTTTCTATTCATTTTGAAAAATGCTATATTAAAAAGTGAAGTTCCTTCATTGATTGAAAGATTTACTTCATCCATGCTACTAAGGTATACTCTGCTTCAAGGAAGATGCTCTTCCTCAGTTGTATTTTCACTACTTACCGTTCTAACTACCTCATCTTCCTGAAGTACGTGAGAAAATTGTCCACAGATATTTCCCAAGTTTTCAATAACTTTTTATTTCAGATATGAAGTCCAGGCCTTCTTGTTAGCTTGTCTTAATATGGGTGTTCTACTGAAACCTGTCCAACATGTGTAACTCAACCAGTTTTGAAATAGGTTGTATAGCACCCAGTCTCACAGCAACATACATATAACCCAACAAACTAATAGATGAGTGATGAGGTGTTACAATAATTAGTGTCATTAAAATAGTGTTACAGTAATCACATCATAATAAAATATAACTTGTTCTTAAATTCTTATGAATTGAAAATTGTTATTCAGTCAGTCCAGAAGATAATAATAAACATGTCTATCAGTACTAACTTTTTTCTATTTCTTTTTCCACATCTTGATTCCAAATGCTGAATATTTTTCAGCTCTTTATCATGTCCATCAATAAAGGAATAAAAGATTCAACTTTATTCATTTCACTTTGTTCATTTGATGAAATAGAATAATTATTAAATCCTGGGGGTTGGAATTTTCTGTAGGTCTAATTATCTTTAATTTAAAAAAAAATATTTGAATTACTAAGGAGAGTATGGTAAAATCATTGTATTTAAATATGCTAAAGAAATAGTTTGCATCTTAAATTATATTTTGATCCTAGAGGATTTATTAATTTGTTTATAAATTTGGGAAGTAATATGAAAAATAGAGACATTATAATGTTTGCTAACAATAGCTGCATTTATAATAGCACAAAGCATTTATATTTGATTGTATCTAAAATTTCTTTTTTTTTAGTTATCTCAAATATATTTATATTAAAAGTAACTTTTTCTCTATATCCAATGAAAAATCTAAAGGTCAGAATAATTTGTGGACTTAAGTAATATCATCCAAAAATTAAATCACCATACAAAGCATAGCTATAATGCAGAGCTGAGCCAGTAACACACAATAATAAAACAACAAACGATATACTGAATTTGAGAAACCACCATTGAGAAATATCTGCTTTCTTACAGTCACACTTGCCTAACATTAATTTCATTATTATTTTTTTTCTCTTGTTTAGGTGGGTAAAGGAATTAATGGTAAGGTGTTTTTTGTTTTGTTTTGTTTTGTTTTTTAATTTGTCTTTTTAATGGGATTAAGAGGAGACAAGAGGAACAAATTCCAGGGTATTTGTGTAAGATATATTCACATGACTTGTTGCAATTAACCTACTAAAACAGAAAAATACCTCAGACAAGACTCTGACGTAAAAACAGAGAAGATATATAAGTACATACAGGGCATACATTTTAATAATAGTTAAATGTTCATTAGATATGGATAATGAGTAGAAAGTAGTTGAGGATGATGGCTCAAATTATTCTATTTCAAAGGAGTAATGCAAAATAAGATAGAAGTGAAAGGAACAGTTTTAATTTTTCACTATAAATTGGTGGATGATTTATCAACAACCTCTGTTATGCGGATGACAAAACCCTGCTTGCTGAAACTGAAGAGGACCTGAAGCGCCTGCTGCCGAGTGTCAAGGACTGCAGCCTACAATATGGATTGAGGCTCAATGTCAAGAAGACAAAGATTCTCACCACTGAACAATTGGCAGCATCAGGATGGATGGTGAAGAGATTGAGATTGTACACAGCTTTAGTTTGCTTGGCTCCATAGTCAACAGTCTTGGCACCAGCAGCCAGGAAATTAAAAGGCACATTGCCATGGGAAAGTCTGCTGTTAGGGACCTCTCCAAAGTACTAAAGAGCAATGGTGTCTCTCTGGAGACTAAGGTGCATCTGATATAGGCTTTGGTCTTCCCAATCACTTGTTATGCATCAGAGAGTTGGACAATGACCAAGGAGGATAGAGGGAGAATTGATGCCTTTGAGCTGTGGTGCTGGAGAAGAGTATTGAGAATACCATGGACTGCTAGGAAAACAAACAGATTTGTCCTGGAAAGGGTTAAACGGGTGGCTCCTTGGAGGCAAGGATTCTGAGGCTCCGTCTAACATACTTTGGACATGTTGTGAGGAGAGACCGGTCCTTGGAGAGGGACATCATGCTTGGGAGGGTGGAGGGACAGCGCAGGAGAGGAAGGCCCTCTATGAGGTGGATTGATTCAGTGACTGGGATAATTGGGATGGGAGTGGCATGGAATTTAGGGCTGTTGCACATAGGGTCGCTATGAGTTGTAGGTGACTCGACGGCACATAACAACAACAACAACAACAACAATAAAATTTTTCCAATCTCATTAATTAATTAATTACTTTCCTAAATATAAGTCTTATTTTTTTTCTGCTTAGAGTTTTTTTTTCCTTTTAACCCTCACAGCAGTCATTTTTTTGAGGATAATTTCAAAAGTCACTTCTTGTTGTTATGCGCCATCGAGTCACTTGCAACTCATAGCAACCTTTGTACAATAGCCCTGAAACCTCCTCTATCCTGTGCCAACCTTATCATCTCTGACACACTTACCCTCATTACCCCAGTGACTGAATCAGTCCATCTCTTTGAAGGTCTTCCTCTATTCCTCCACCCTTCAAAGCAAAACTCACTACTGATAGTAAATGTCAAGGGAGGAGATCGCCTGTCTTTATACCATGGAGCAGCTGGGGAATATTCATTAAAAAACAAATGAATAAACAAAACCTCAAAACCAAAAACATCGTGGGCTTCAACTGAAATAGAGATGCCACCTTTAGGTTAATACAACTCTCTCCAGTAAACCACCAAAGTTTCCTATTTTAATAATGAACATTTCAAGGGCTAATTTGTAGGAGAATTCCGACCAAGAACAGAATATATGAAGACATCCAAGATCTTACAGAGTTAAATGATTTTTAAGGACAGATCTAACAGAATAGGAAATAAGCATAGACCAGAGAATTTAATGTTTCATCAAATGTAACATTGTCCTTAATTCTGAACCACAAGTGCTTTGCTCTTGGCTTCCCCATTCCCACTGAACTGAGTTAATGCAAGGGTGACCTTCCATTTGGTTTCTGATTATGCAGTTTTTTTTAAATAAAATTTTTATTTTATACTGGTTTAGTTACAAAGTTCACAGCTATTGCACTACTTGGAATATACCCTGAGAAAATGAATACTGAGACACAAACAGGAACTTGAACACCAATGTTCATAACAGTATTTTCAACATTACAAGAACATTGAAACAGCCCAAATATCCAACCACAGTAGAATGGATTGAGAAATTATGATACATTCACATATGGAATACTGTGCTGCACGCAGGAGCAACGATTTTGTAAATTACTGCCTAACATGGGAGGGACTGGAGAACACTATGCTAAGTGAACTAACTCAGTCCCATAAGGATAAATATTGTATAAGACTATTATTGTAGAACATATAGGAGGATCCAAGGCAGGGAGGGGAACAGAGGAGTGAAGACAGAGGGAAAGGGGGACGGTGCTTAATCATAGGGTTGCATAATTTGATAGGAGGGAGGAGTGGGTAAAGAAAAGGGGAAAGATCCGGTGTGATGATGTAAAGCTTACTGTTAGCAGACTAATCTTTTTCCCATCAGAGCAGTTTAGTAGATTCAAATTTAAGATTGGGTTAGCAGCCCAACACTTAAGCCACTACAGAGTACTACAAACAAAAGGTGTAGTAATTTCATCTTGGGATAATCTGGTGAAGTGATAAAAAGGATATTTTTTTTCTTTTAAAAGAATGAAGTAGAGAATATTTTAAGATTAAAGTAAAGGTGTGGGCTTCAGAGAATGTGTTGGGATTAGCGTAGTATCAATGTGTAAACTGCAGTAAACTCTGTCTCAGTTGAAAGAGTAAGTTCAGTGATTACCTCATCACCTCCTCAATTTGATTTGATTTGTTTTCTGAAAGAATTTGTGGAAGGTGAAATGAACCTACACAGGAGGAGTACTTTGCACTATTACTTATCAATGGTTTAATTTTGATAAGAAAGTCTAACTGGAACTTAGTATTAGTCTGCAGCTTCCAAGTAACACACACTTTGTCCCATTGACAAACAGACTCATAATTGACAAACTCAGAACAGACTCATAAATGACCCAGTTGGCTTTGTAGGTAATCAGTCACACAAGAAGAGATTGCCCAACTTTCTTCTGGGACCAGCTGGTAGATTTGAACTGCATACATTTGGGTTGCCAGTACAGCAACTTACCACTAGGCCAACAGAGCTCCCTGTGCTATACCCTAAGTTGTAAACCTGCTTCTCAACTTTTCTAGACAATTCCATTTCAAATACAAGTGATTGATATGAAGGTCAGTGAAAGTAAATAACTTAGAATTTAATAAAACAGTTTTTTATAACCCTGGTGTCCCAGTACTTAAATGCTGTATTGCTAAGTGAAATGTGGGAGGTTTAAACCCACCAGCTGACTCATGGGAGAAAAATGTGGCAGTTGACTTCTGTAGAGATGAAATCTTTAGAATCTCTATAGAGTGATTCGACTCTGTGTATAGGATGGTTGTGAATCAATTAACTTAACAGTACATAGTGAGAATTTTGCAAATCAGAAAAATAAAAAACTTTAGAACTGTTTCCCTCACTGCCAAAAATATACTAATATTTAACTCTGATAAATAAATTTGAACAAAATGAGAAAATACTAAATTTTTTTTCATTAGTTGAGTAGAATCCTTGGATCAGAAATGATAAAATTTTCAAAATGATCAAATTATCAATAACTTAGTTTTATTACAGAAAATTATGCATGGTTATATATACTTTGAATTATTTCCTAGTAAAAATCTCCAATATTTGGGATATAATATAACTTACCTTTATGGGAAAGCAGTTTGTCAAATGATTCACCCCATTTTAATGTCTCTTCAGGGGAAATTCTGTTCAAGACACAACATCTTTATAATGAAATATGTGATAAGTCTGTTTATGAATCTAATTTAATGTATGCTACTGTATACATTATATACTATACTATACTATACTGTATAGTTAAATATTAAAGGGTTTCTCCATTCAATAATATAAAATGGAAGTTGTATTTTCAATGGTTACCTGAAAGTCATTGTACAGTTTGCTTATAAAGCAATATATAAATATATCAAAACAACATTAAATATTTCCTTATGCATCTATGGATCATTTTAAAGAATATTTGATCAAGGAATATATCAAAGAACAGAAAAACTAAGAAAAAGATGAATTATACATTTTATAAAATCCACCAAATATAAAGCATTCAACTAAATATTTGAAAGAGGTTTTTGTTATCTCTTAATGCAATTTTCTTAAATCTTTTAACTTCAATGTACTTCTTCCCCCCACCCCCACCATTCAAACAAAGTTTAGCAAATTATTTAAAAGGGATATGAAATCGTTTTTGTGATGTTGATGATCTAGAATTTTTTATATTTGCCTCTTTCTATTGGTCATATTTCCATTTTTAAGAAATACATTATTTCATATGTAAGGCTATTATCCCTATTTTGAGTTAAGTGGTTAAATTTTTAATTTAGTAAAAATTTGAATTTTACTTTCTCCTATATATAAGACATTCTCTAATCTACAAAGGAATGAGATGAATATTCCTTTCCAAGTACAATATTGGATTATTAAAACTCACAATATAATGTACATTTCATCAATTTATACAGTTTAAATGTATCTTTTAAAATTGGCATATATATAATTTTATTAGTATCTTTGTATTTTATATGATTATTATTTCAGCCACTGAAGTGGCTTAATTTGATGAACTCTTTATAATTTCTTGAAATGAGATCTCTAACCTGACTATTACTATACAATTTCCTGTAAAATAGAAAACTTTCATTTTCTTTTTTCTTAATTCTTTAATGTTAGAATCAGCAAAATCTCTCCTTTAAAGAATAAAATTATGTTCACCTTGTATCTTTGGCTAAGTGCCCAGATGTACAGGGATGGGTCTCTTCATGAAACTCTTGTTTTAGCAGGAGAAGACTTAGCCGGTTTCTTTTCTCTTTAGCTCTATAATTAAAAAAAAATAAAAATCTCTCACCATCAGGGCATTATATATGCTAGTTGAAAATTATTTCTCCCATCAAGAAGTTTTGAATCCATAATCACCTGAGCACTCTCACACTCAAGTTCAAATTGGCGTTGTTACTAACAAAAGGTAGATATTCATTAAAATACTATGTAATAAAGGAATTAATTAGCATGCATATGTGAAGCATGTTGCTCTCTCCCTGGTGTTCAAAAAATATTTACAATTGTATTCCAGTCAACATTTTCTTAGTAGTTCTGTGTGACTATAGTTGCTATATATATATATCTCACTTTAGATACAGCTTTTGTTTCTTTTCATTGGTGAACAGCTTCATCCTCCAGCTAAAACCAGATACCTTAATAACAAGGGCTATCAAATAGTTGACAGTAATTGCATTTTAAAAAGTGGAAGACTAAAAATAGGACTTTACCTGATTTTAACTTCATCGCTTTTTCTTTCTCTTCCTGAACTATGCATTAAATCCACAAAAGGTTTTTCTTTTGATTCACACATCCTTAACTGAGAAAAGAAAACCAATGTTGTCTCCATCTTCTCTCTCTAAAATAAAGAGAGGTCTAATTTATCGTATCCTTGATCATTTTGCCATTCACGTGTTAATATTACTTCGTAAGTATCCATGGCAAAATAAAGTTATTTCAATTCTTTCATCAATGCTTTAAGAAAGAACAAAGGCCCAGAGCCTTGACACTTGCTACCAAAACTAAAGAACTGAAGAGCTGGTGTGTAAAGTACAGTTCTGAGTTGTTTGAGGAAATGATACTACAAATTTGCAAAATATCTCTTGCTCTCCAAGATAAAGGCTACCACAGCGTATTACCACAGAGCAACTTCTCATTTATGTTTGTGCAATCAGAATGATGCTTTAAGAGACACAAAAGACACTGTCATTTCCCCCCCCACACACAAAAACCCTTAAAAAAAGAGCTTTAATGTAATGTGTATTCGAATGGCCAAACTACTACACAGCCATTAGGAGGTATCTGACTCACGTTTCTAAAAATGTAAAAGGTATTTTTACACTGCTCAAAATTATACTTGGTAAGTAAATTATATTAATTAGCATTATATGATCTAATATTTACATAAGTCTGTTGGATTGAAATAAAGAATCTCTCTCATTAACATTAATGATCAAAGAGTGCCTTATAAAGCATTTGATTCAATGATTTCTAAGCAAAGATTTTAGATTTTAATGGATCTAAAGTGTTAAAGAATAATGATGTCAGTCTAGGAACTGAAGTAAGCCTAATCCAGGCCATGATCTTCACTATTACTTTTTATGCATTAGAAAACTGGACGATGACTAACGATGACAGGAGAAGAATTGAAGTCTCTTGAGCTGTGGTGCTGGAGAAGAGTATTAAACATACCATGAACCACCAAGAGAACAAAGAGATCTGTCTTGGAGAGGGTCAAACTAAATTTCTCCTTGGAGGATAGGGCTTTGAAGCACCATCTCACATACTTTGGGCAGGAGGGACCAGTTTTAGGGGAAGAATCCCATGCTTGGAAGAGTGAAAGCACAGTGCAGGAAAGGAAGATCATCAATGACATGGATTGACACAGTAACAGGGATAATGTGGGTAGATGTATTGGGGACAGAGAGACTGGCTCAGGACAGGGCAGAGTTCAGACCTACTGTATATAGGGTCTCTACGAGTCGCAGGTGAACTGATGAAACATAACACCATCAAAAGCAACATGGATTTTCTACTACATTGTTATAAAAAGGGGGGGAAATGGCAAAATGGATTTTTTTTCCTTAGAAATGAGCACACACATATATGAAACTTAAAGGACTCAGTATATTTTTAATTGTCCTGAAAACTCTTTGTAGTTAAAATATTTCATTGAAAAGAACATTTTAACTAGAGTTATACATTTCCATGTTTGTTACTCCTGTGTCTGTGTATACTGAACTGAAACAGATGAGGGAGTGAATAATTTGAAAGTTATGTATGATAGGGTCTTATGGTTATCACAGGAGTCCACAATTAGGGTTGCATAGTGGAGTGTGCTTGGGGCAGTGGGAGGGTGCGTGGGGACTGTGTACCAGGGAAGGTGTGTTTCTTTTGCTTTTGAAAGAGAGGAGAGAACTGGGGGGGGGGAGTGGGATGGGCGGGGAGAGAAGTGTAGCCATGGATGAATGAAAATCCAAAAATCTCTGTAAATTCTCATTAAAATTATTTTAAAAAGTGCAGAATAAAACACAATAAAATAAAAAGAAAAGAAATGATGACAACCCCAGCTGATATAATCTCAGCTTCTTTCAGTGTAGCATGAAACTCAGAATGGTAAGAAATAGTGATCTAATCTATTACATTTATGAGAAGCCGACTCCAAGGATCATAAATGCTAGTGATTTATTATCTTGAAATCCAGATTTCATGAGATAACTAGTCAGTGAGATAACTAGAATTCTCAGAGCATTTTCTGACCAGAGGTTTAATTTAGTCTTTTGAAGATATACTGCTGTCTAATAATGAATACATTTATTCACACAAATTTTATATATGAAAATATTATATAAATCTAATATAAAATGGTATAAAATCACTAGAAAACTTATGTAATATTTTTAGCCTTTAATAATCAATGAAAATATCCAAGAAAATAATTAAGAGGAAGACCCAGTTAGAGCTTTATCAAAAAAACTAAATGAATAGAGAAACATCAACAATTATTATAATAGAGTTTTGTTTATTATTAAATTGTTCGTTATTGTTTTGTGCGGTCGAGTCACTTGCAACCCTACCTATGTGTAATAGCCTTGAACTCTTCTGTGCCAACCTAGTTGTTTCTGACACACTTACCCTCATTACCCTTGATCAATCCATCTCTTCAAGGGTTTTCCTCCCTTGTGCTGTCCCTCCACCCTTCTAAGCATGATGTCCCTCTCCAAGGACTGGTCTCTCCTTGAAAGTAGGCCCAAAGCATGTCAGATGAAGCCTCAGAATCCTTGCCTCCAAGAAGCAGCCTGGTTTTACCCTCTCTAGGATGAACATGTTTGTTCTCTTGGCAGTCCTTATTCAATACGCTTTCTCAGCACTACAACTCAAAGGTATCAGTTCTCTTTCTATCATCCCTAGTCATTGTCCAGCTTTCTGATGCATAGCAAGTGATTGCAAAGACTATGGTTTAGATCAGGCACACTTTAGTCTCCAGATAATGTGGTTGCTCTTCAATACTCTGTAGATGTCCCTGACAGCAGACTTTCCCAATGCAATTTGTCTTTTGATTTCCTGGCTGCTGGCACTAGGAATGTTGATTGTGGAGCCAATAAAACTGAAACTGTTGACAATCTCAGTCTTTTAACTATCTATCATGATGCTGCTAATCAGCCCAGTGGGAGAATCTTTGTTTCCTTGATGTTGAACTTCAATCCATATTGAAGGCTGCAGTTCTTGGCCTACTGCAGCAAGTGTTTCAGGTCCTCCTCAGTTTCAGCAAGCAGGGTTGTGTCACCTGCATAACACAGGTTGTTGGTGAGTCCTTCTCCAATCCTGACACCTCACTCCTTTTCATGGAGCCCAGCTTCCTGGATTATCTTTTCTCCATATTGATTGAAAAGGTATGGATATAGGACACATCCCTGGTGTATATCCTTCCTAATTTTGAACCATGCAGTGTTTCCTTGCTCTGTTCTGATGACTGCCTCCTGGTCCAAGTATGGGCTTACATAAACACAATCAAGTGTTCTAGGATTCCCATTCTTTCCAGGATTAGCCACAGCTTGTTGTGATCTACACAGCCAAACACCTTTGCATAGCCAATGAAACAAAGATCCTCCGGTACTCTGTTTTCAGCCAAGATCCATCTAAAATTAGCTATAATATCCCTTGCACCACAGCCTCTTTGATTGAAAGCAAAGGGCAGAAATCAGGAAGCTAAAAGCTAAAAAGATTTCAAAGAACAGCTCAGAAATAAAAAAAAAAATTATTGTAAAATGTGTTAAGAGCTAGATTAGAAAAGCAAAGGAGATGAACTAGGCTGGCATTTCTTAAGCAGAAGAAATTGAACAAATTCAAGGCCAAGGTTGCTATGCTTAAAGATGCTATGTGTAAAATAAGGATCTCTGGTGCTAGAAGCTGTGCTGCAATACCAAAGACGTGCAATTCAAGTCCACCAGGTGCTCCACGGGAGGAGGATGGGCAATCTTTTCCCATACAATTAACTGTCCCTGAAAATCCACTGGAGGGTCAGCTACGAATTGGTTATTACTCGATAGTACACAGCAGCAACAATATGGACAGATTAGCGAATGATCCAGGAAGCATCCAAAGAAGATGGAAAGAGTGAACAGAATCAATAAACCACAAAGAATTGGCCAAGAGAGAACAATTTCATGAAATAGCATATGATCAAAAAGCAATGGTAATAGAAAAAAATTCAAGCTTCTCTGAAGGAATTAGAAAACAAACAAACAAATAAACAAACAAACAAACAAACACTCAAACAAGGCCCCAATTACTAATGGAATAGCAATGAACATATTTCAACAAACATGTGTAGTCCTGTATATACTTACAATGTTGTGCCAAGAAATCTGGAGGACAGTTACCTTGTCAACTTAGGAGCAGAAGAAATTCATATTCTCATTAGCAAAGAAAGTGATTAGACAGAATGTCAAAGTTATCAAACAATATCACTAATGTTACACACAAGCAAAATCCTGATGAAGATTATAAAAAAAAATTATTGGCACAGTATATCAACAGGGAACAGCCATTAATAAAAGCAGGATTTAGAAAATACCATGGCACTAGGGACATCATAACCAATGTCAGAAGGATATTAGCTGAAAACAGCAAGTACCCAAGGAAGGTTCTCGGTGTTTCATTGACTACTCAAAGGTATTTAACTGTGTGGATCACAGCATATTGTGGTTAAGCTTGAGAAAAATGGGAATCCAAGAACACTTGATTGTGCCCATCAGAATCTATAATTAGACTGGGAAGCAGTTGTACAAACAGTAACAAACAATTCATTGTTGAAATTTGAGAAAGGAGTGGGGCAGGAATGAATTCTTTCTCCCTGTCTTTTCAATCTATTTGCTGAACAGAAATTTGATAGGCTGGACTTTATGAAGGAGAATGTGGCATCAGGATTGGAGGAAGAGTCAACAACAATATGCATTGTGAAGATGACACAACCTTGCTCACAAAAACTGAGGAAAACGTGAAGTGTTTGCTACAGAAGGTCAAGGATTTCAGTCTCCAACATGGATTGTGCCTCATCATCAAGAAAACAATTATTCTCATCATCAGGCCATTAGGAAGCATCATGACAGAAGGAGAAGAGATTGAGGGTGTTAGCAATTCTGTTTTGTTCTGGTTCCACAATCAACACTTTGGGCACCAGCAGTCAGGAAATTAAAATATGAATTGTTTTGGGAAAGTCTGCTGGCAGGGACCTTACCAGAATGCCAAGGATTAAAATGTGCTGATCCAAGCCATGGACTTCTCAATTACTTACCGTGCTTCAGGGAGCTAGACAATGACTAAGTATGATAGAATTGATGCCTTTGA